ATGTAAAATGTACTTTTAAATCGTTACTTTTTTTGTTTAGTACTTGTACTTTTACTTGTACTTTTTACTCGTTACTTTTTAAAATAAGAACTTTTTACTCGTTACTTTTTTTAAAAATACTTGTACTTTTACTCGTTACTTTTTAAAAGTAACGTTGCCATATATGGTAGTAAATATCTACTTCTCCGCAGATGTAAAATTAAACATCTCAGGTTGAAACATTTATAGGTATATTTGAGGTTGATTTTGAGGTATTCATTTGCACCCTTTTCAACCTTAACGACGTATTTAAATAACAACCTCCTTTGTACCTTTCAAATATACCTCGATTTTTTCATAAGGGATGTTTCAGAATTCAGAAAATGGACATATACCTTATTTTTTTTAAAAAAAGGGACGTAACATTTGATTCGTTTCTCTTTCATAATAGTATTGTTATTTTTTTCGGTAAGAGAAATAATAATAATCTAATCGCAATAGCAACGCCTGAATATCCAGATAGCGAAATAAGGTTTATTTCCACTCAACAAAAACCTTTTAATGTAAACCTAAAAAAAATTTTTATGCGGTTTACAGTAAACCATCTAAACTTAAAACGAGATCTGTGACAATCTGCTCTATTATATACATACCTAGTGGAAAACCTTGGACAACAACTCTTTTCTCTACGTCCTGTATGCTCAGATAAAATCCACCTTGTCATGAAATTTTAATTGACAATGCAATTTGATCCTGTCGCTAGTGTGACGTCACTTTTCCTTGATTCTGCGATTATTTGTTTCAGATTATACTCTTTATAGCTTTTAGTTCCGTGGAAAAATTCTTTCTTTTCTATCCCATTTATGTGTCCATTTTCATAAACACGCATTTTTAGCTGTGTCCATTTTTTTAAACACGCATTTTTAGCTGTGTCCAGTATAAAATGTTCATCGAGATGAAATATTTTCCTTACTTTTTAAATCCAATTGGTGATTACGCGAAAACCTTAAAAGAAGGTTTTAGCAAAGTATAGTTTTGCAGGGCATTAAGAGAACAACAAGAAACTAAGGTATTTTGTTCGTTTAGTTGCTTTTCCTTGAGTGAAGTGTTTTGCATACGATTTTTTTCAAATTTATTATTATTTTTTAGCAAAAAGTTTATATTTGAATAATTTCGTTCCCTCGGAAAAAGCTTTTCGCTTTGTATTTTTGTTTACCTTATGATGTAACTACAATAAAAAGGTTTATAATTCGCTTTTTTTTACCTAAGTGACAATATTTTTTAAAAATGCTTTAAAAATAATTTTTAATTCTTTTAGGATGAAAGGTTTGAAACTTCAATATTTTTGCTCTATTGAAAAAAGGTTTTTAATGAAAACATTTTCGTGACAATAAAAAGAAAATTCCGACACAAGGTTGCCGTTAATATTTTTCTCGTTCAGATTATCAAAAATATATTTTAAAATTCCCTGCAATGTTTCAATCATCAGATTTGGTATGATCTAGACTACAGGTATTTGCAGCCAATAGTGGAGCAATAAAACGGAATCATCGGAAACACTACAGACTTTTTAGACTCACTAATACCTTGTTTCCACTAGCAGGTTAAGAAAGCTTAAACTGGTTTAAAAAAGCTTAAGTATATATCTTAAGAAAGTTTAAATCTGATAATGGAAACAAGGTTAAAAAGAAATAAAAACAAAGCTTTTGACAACCATCACGAGATCGGAAGATCAGACCATTGTATCAGAGTACTGACGTTGAAACAGATGGATAAACTAAATGCTTTGCCTCAGTAATCTGTTTAATAAAGAAATTCCTATCTCAGGGGAGAATTACAAATTTTTATCATAATTAAAAAAATCTTTAAAAGGAAGGGAAAAAAATGGAAGATCGATGCAAGACGGTTAATGAATATTATTTTAGTGTTCTATGGCAGTTGCGTGAAGCAATTTAACGAAAGTTATTTGAAATATTGCAAGAAAAATGAAAATTCAAGGAGTTTGCGTTATAGTAACGTTCTTTCTCACACTACAGTTTGAATTCGTCTGTTTTTGGTAAAATATTGAACAAATAAGATCCCACAAGCACCGGATTCTCCAGATATTGCAACGTTTCGTTTTTTCTTGTTCTTACTGTTGTAATTTTCTCTTATGGTCATCGTTTTGAGTTCATTCATTCGATAAAAGAAAATCTGCCAACAACTCTGAAGGGAATTCACATCGTGACATGTTTTGGGTGATTGTGGAGAAACGAGAAAAACGTTAACAAAAGTGCATTGAAATTGGAGGGGAGTATTTTGATGAGACTATAATAAACTAATAGTTTTTTTTATGCTACCAGTTGCGATTATAGCGTAATCGGTATCGTATATTATACTTATCTGTAAAAATATCTCCAGGTATTAAAAGAGAAAGGGAGAGTAACACAAACTCTTAACTTTTATTATAACTAAATACCGAAATCCTCAAAGTTGGTGATTGGAGGGAAGTTCGCTCCTAAGTGAGATAAAAAATCAAATATCATTATTTAGTTCAGAAGTTATTCGGATGTTTTTTCGCACATTCTGTATGCTGAAGTAAAAATACTTTTTCAGTGATTTTATACTTTTACCATAAATTACTTTCATTATGATTTTTACAAATCTTTCTCAAGACTCATTTTACAAAAGAAAATCCATTTTTCTTCCACTTAAAATTTATTGGTTTTATTTTAATGTGTGTTGATTTGATCGTTTTTAAATAAGGAAAAACTTTAAAAATTAAGTATCTATATTATACTCAATAAGCATAACATATGATAAAGCTTTAAAATATTGTATCTGGGTGCTTAATTAAGAGCCCTTGAAGCTCGGGGATCACCGTTGAGGTTTATATCACATTCTAATGTACACCAGAGTGAGGGGTTAACTTCTCG